AGTCCCGGCGGCGTGTGTTGTGCTCAGCTGTTGTTTTCTTACCTCTGCTCTCCACGTGGCTGCCTCTATTTGCGGTCTGTGTAAAAATCAAATCATAATTTGCAGTAAACCTTTTAAAAACGGAATGTGTGCTGGGATACATAGTAGAAGTGAAACTTCAACGGAAGTTCAGTGGAAAAACAAATCGCAACAAAATTTTTACTTCAAATTTTACGGGCATATTGTTAATGTACTTGTTCAATTTGATAACCTGCCGTAAAATTTCAAGTAAAAATTTTGTTGCCATTCGTTTTTCCACTTGTCCGTCGCCATTCGTTTTTCTACTTGTCCGTTGCAGTTTCACTTCTACGATGTGTCCCAGCACACATTTCGTTTTCATTGGATGGTTCAATTCATCACCCGGACGTGAAAAATATTTCGCATCGCCCGTTGGAGCATCGAATACGTTAACAGACTCCAAATTCAAAGCAAATTGAAAAATCAGATGCTAACAAACGCTGAAAGACCCCTCCCCCCTCCCAGACCATAATAATATTCCTCCACTTTACTGGATATTACCTAGAATTGCAGATCTTTCCCAGTTGGGATTCCAGTGGTTGCCTTAGTGAAATTAACAAACAAATTTAGAAAATTAGCTATGAAAGTGTATCAATTACTACAGGTCCTCAGAATATTTTACAAATGATCTGATAAAAAAGTCTCATCATAAATACTTAGATAAGAAACACCTTTATAAAGACTTCTACGATATTTCCAGACAATTTGTATGTGTATCTACCAAGATGATAGGCGTGCTAATATTTGCTGCCTTTGCGCCTTTTGCTTTAGGTAAATTACATACTGTATAGCATTTAGCGTTAAATATACTATACATAATTGAGTTTTTCTATAGCTTCTCCTCCTCAATCGGATCTAGCAGAACCATCTACCAGAATTGTAGGAGGAAGCTCTACAACAATTTATGATATTCCTTATATTGTACAAGTAAACGAGGGTTATCCAATGTGCGGTGGATCAATCATTTCAAGACATTGGGTGGTCACCGCAGGTCACTGCTTAGAGGGGTATGTTAATCAATAATTAATAAGTTTTAGTATTAAATATTAACAAAGAGATGTGATTTATTTGAAATAGTCCCATTTAAATCACAGGTAGGCACAACATTTAAAACACTTATTTTCATTTCCTCTTTTTCGTATGACTTTCTTTAAATATTTATTTCTATTTTTTACTTAATGAAAAATTGAATATAAAAGGTACTTAGAACTCGGCCAATAAATACTGTTTGTTGCCGGAACGTGTTCTGAGTAAATCATTTCATTGATAACCATTAGGGAAAGATAAGGAAATAAGGTGTAACGGCTTAGCTTAGTTTTCATCGTAGCCGAGTCATGCTGAGTTATCTATCACAGTGTTCTTGCGTTCGAAAGTGGATGTCGATATCTTAATGGGTTAATACGATTTAATTCGACTTCGGTGGAAATGTAGCGGTTAGTTAATACCTTATTTATTAAAAGTAACCAGCTACAGTTGAATCTAGATAAGCTAAAACTGGATAAGTGAGAAAACTGTATAAGCGACAAAAATAGTCAGGTCCCGTCATTTTTAGCCCCGGAAAACATCAATTAGTGACAGTGTAAGTACCTCTTTTAGAAAGAGTCATCTTTCACTTCTAGACCTCTGTGAGTGACAGTTTCTTACTCTAGACCTCTGCAAGCGAGACTATTTACAATTACTAGAGATCTGCAGCAGACTTGTGCGCTTGTTTCTACCTGCTCATGGTACTCATCCTTAACAGTTGGTTTCAGTTGATAACAATCATTGGAGAAAGTACGTTTGACGTAAAAGGATACTCAGAAAAAATTAACTGATCACATTAAATAAATAAAATAAGTACCTATTTATAGCCAAATGTGTATATACTATTGTATTACCTATTTCTTAACGCTCTAGCACCATGTTTATGTTCGATTTTTATTGACCCCTATAAATAAGAAAACTCTGTGAGTGAGAATAATATTCGGGTCCCTTGAATTCTCGCTTACTCAGGTTCGACTGTAGTACTCCACTTTATTACCTTGACAAGACGTTCTTTACGATGGAAAAAGCCGAAAAAATGGCAAAAAATGCGGAAAGCCTATCTTGAAGGGGTAGGAAATGTTTAACTTTGTTACCAATATCATAGCGAAATCAATTCCTCAAAGTATAAGATGAACAAGACCGAATGGGTTTACCTAGAAATACCAATTGTCGTTAGCGTAACGAGTTTTACCCACAATTAAAACTCCGTTCTACCTGGGGTCTCTTGAGTAATCACTAAACTTTATTATTATTTTTCAATTTTTTTTGTTGTTCTATCGTCTTGTTCTATTTGTTTAATTTTTTTAACTCACATTTAAGGAAGCGTTTTCCTTTAAGATCTCGTTCTTATTATTTTTTTTATTGTATTTGGTATAGTTTGGCTTGGTTAAACTTATCTTCGTTAATTTTCGGCGTAGAACCACGATTCTTTTTTTTAACCCCACATAGCCACTCACTCAAAATCCAGTTCCGGCATCAGTTTCTTAATTTTCCTTCGGGAAAATAGTTTTTTGGAAATTAGGTTTTCATCGTAGTTTGCGCCCTTTCTACTATCACCCCTCTTTCAACCCTACCTTGGTATTGTCGTTTACAATATCAATAAACAGTATATAATAATTTTATCTTTCAACTAATGGCAGTTGCAGGACTTTCTCAACACCAGTAGGAGGTTGTTCATGTATCGGGCCTGTTTGATGTCAATTTGCCTGATCTTGACATGGAGTGTGATTATATGCATTCTTCGCGCTTAAAAGCTTCTGTTGCAATTTTAACTAAGAGACCTCTGTCTATAAGACACTTTGAATTTTTGCAAGCTTAAATTAAATGAATTAATTTTTCTCGTACTTCACTGGTTGAGTACTGGTGTGAAAAACTAAAGGCCCGGGTTCGATTCCCGACGAGGAAGTGGTAGCAGCAATAATTTTTCCTCATTAATTTGAGGTTAATTGTAGTGAGTAATGTTAATTCAAAAAATTCATTCATTGAATTAGTTCGAGGATTGTGAAACATATAATCTTAAATCCGTATCATCGGTGTAACCTAACCTAGCCTATACTCTTAGGTATGTACCGTCGCTATTGTTGCTGTTACCTCCTCGTAGCTTAGTGACAATGTACTGGTGTGTAAAACCGGGCTCAGTTCCCGTCTAGGAAGTGACAGCAGAAACAATCTTTCCTGATTAATTTTAGGTTATCCGTAGTGAGTAAAGTTAATTCAAGAAATTAGTTCATTAGACCTGTTCAGAGTCAAGACCGGCCTTTTTGATGCAGACCATAAAGCTCCTGCATGCAGTTTTTAGAATACTTTGCAAACCTAGATGGGTAGATGGATCAATTAAATACTTAAATTAGTTTATAAGGGTAACGGTTCAAGAAGGATCCTTTATGATCCCCAATACAGTTTAATTTCTATTTGGGGTGTTTATTTTTATGAGTTTCGCAGTTAAAAGTACCGTTTGTTGATTTTGATGAAGTCGATTTTCCAGACGTTGTAAACATCTCTCTTTTCAACATTTTTGAGTTTCGAAAGCCCCGCCTTGTACGTATCCACAGAATGGTTTTAAAGGGTTAATCACCAATGGTGACATTCGCCACACCCTTGGTACTTGTTACTAGTTTTAAGTTTAGATATAAGAAGTGACCAAGAGCGAGCAAAGCACTTGAACTAAAACAAGACTAAGACTAGCACTTGCACTTGTACATAAAGTTACTAATCAATCGTTGGAGATACTCTGTACATATTTGCAAATATATATTTAATATGCAACTTCGCTGCAAGACTTCAATTATTCTACCTTCCACCTCAGAATCAAACAACACGCCTTATTAATTTAACGCGTCTGCTGATATTCTCCTTACAATAGTAAGTTCTCGAATATTTGCCTGTGAAATTTAACAAGATCTCTATTTGCTCCAAAGCTGCAGAAATGTCGGAAAAGACATTTTTCATTCTGGCAAAAAGTTCCACAGAAAGTTTTCCTCTGTCCTTAAAACTTCTTGTCAGTATGAGTTTCGGACTACAATCTAGTCAATGTATTGGTTCTTTAGAACTTCCTAACATTTCACGCAGTCTTAGACGGCGGCACTCATCGCCAAAAGACTCCAACAGCTGCTGCCTATGTCCCAAGAATAATTTGTAGTGATACACAACCAATATTTAAACAAAGCGTTTAAATTGGGCCTGAGCATTTCGTAGAATAGGCTGTAATCCTTTTTTGACTAGAAAGCTTGAGATGCCGCAAAACTATACTAGTCTGCCAGCAATTTGAAAAGGAAAGTGTGATAATATTGATCCCAATCCATGCGACAGCAACTTGCATTATGCGACATCCCACGTCTCAACTATATGTTATGTAAAACAATTTTGTTTATACATTCATTCAATTTAGCCATGACTGTAATTCCACAGCTATTTTTCTTGAAATACTGCTACATGTAAAATTTTTTTACATAGCGCTTAATTTACTTCCTTTCTGCAAAACCAATATGACGTTTCTAAACTTTATTGAGTCCAAAATAACGAATGAGTCTGGCTCACTTGCGACGCCAATCGGGATATTTTCGCAATGTTATTTGCATTTAGCAGTTCCAGACTTTTTCTATTGTAAAGAGCATCCTTTTTAGCTTTGGACTAGTAGAAAAAAACGACAACTAAAAGTGAATCGTTTCAGAATGATGAACTATGTATTAGAGCCTATTATCGATTAATAACAATCTTATAAAGTAACGTACTAAAGTACTTGTTTGTTATTTTCAATAACTATGATCGGATAATAACGTAACGATTAACCACTTAAGAACTTTCCAAATTCAACTTAAAATATTAGACAAGTACTTTGTTTTGTCACATTATTAGACTGTTGTGCAATGACATGTGAATCGCTTGAGAATGGTACTCATAATATTGAAATTATATATAAGTATATATAGATGTGGTTAGTAACAGAATAATAAAGTCGGAAAAGTACCTGTACCTTACTTTTAATTGGTGAATGAATTATTACAACGTAGAGTTAGAATCTACTCAATTTAAGAATTATCCAATTATTGAACTGATGCTGTTCTGATTCTGGTTTAAAGGCCGTCGTGTGTTGGAGTTGCTAGCTAACGTTTCGGTAGCACTAGTGGTGAGCTTCTTCAGAGGTCTTTTCATCTCCGATCCGTGGTGCGGATTCACAACAGCATCAGTTCACCTACTGACCGCGAAAGTCTTTACTAATTTGTTATTAAATATTGCCGCGTAATCAAACATCCCTCACTCTTTTAATTCATTCACGTTTCTTCACTCCAGTAGAAGTAGTGAACTATTTCCTCATTTTTCTAATTCACCTTCAATCATCTCGTAATAAAAAACTATTCTTCTCCATCTTGGGGCAGATATTTGTACGAATTGGATTTATTCTATTCCAGAATGCAAGTCCTCCTAAAATTCTGTCTTCCGAAATCTCCGCAACCCATTATATGATACTTTTGACACTTTTTTATATATGGTGGGTTGACCGCCTAAGTCTCTTCACCTTACCTTCAATTTATAATAATAATAATAATTTAATAATAATTTATTCAATAAACGGGAATACTCCCTTTTTACATAAGGACATTAATATAATATATTCGCTCAGTCTAAACTCTCTTTCACAAAAATAAAATTAATTGTATAAATAGTATCACAGCAATACAGTTAACTATGAGGACCAAGGAAAGCAGCCAAAAGTATAGCAAAAAAGAAAGCAATTAATTATACACATAGAACCATAATCAGTGACAAGATCTAAAATTGATACAGATTATTTATGAATCTAGAATACGAAGACAAAGATATAGAAAATATATCGACACTTTCAGATATTAAATTTCCCAGCTTGTGCAGTCGACTCTGCAGACTGTTTGCCGCTGAAGTTGTATGAGAAAAAGGAATAGCAAAAAGTTGATTACGGCGAACTTGTCTGGAGGGAACATGAAAATTGATATTGGATAACATAGTTGAACAATCAACTAAGCCGTGTAGAATCTTGAATAAATGTGTCAAATCCGCGATGTTTCTCCTGGTCTCTAGCGATTGAATGAGGAAAAGTTTTTTGATGTTAGTATAGTCGTGATCATCGAAACGCATGGGTGTCATATTTACAAAGGCGAGTTTGCGCAAAAATTTCGATTGAACCGATTCAAGCATTTTTTTATCAGTCGCAGAGAAACGAGACCATATTGGCGAAGCGTGTTCTAATTGAGGTCTCACAAGTGTATTAAATAGTGTAATTAAGGTAGACGGATTTCTAAAATGTTGAGAATTACGAAAGATAAAACTAAGTAATCTGAGGCCTTTGTTCGTTATTTTGATAATATGAGCGTGAAATGAGCCGTCTGATGTAAAAGTAACTCCGAGATCAATGGTTTCATCTAACGTTAACAGAGATGTTTGTCGAATGTGATAGTCAAATAAGATGCGTGGGTTTTTCTTTTTTTTGGTGTACCGAACGACATGACATTTTGCAACGTCAACTTTGGTATGAGGTCCCTTCTGAATTTGATAGTCGACGTTCCTTCTGTCTTAATGGGTTACAAAATGTACTTTATCACATTCATTACGAGCTGGTTCGTCGATCGCTATCTGGCATTCATGAAGTCGATATCGAATCCCAGCTTTGTGTCCACAGCATTATGGAGTCCTAGTCCATCTTCTAGTTGGTGAACGAACTTATCTGTAAATACTGAGAAGTCTCCAAGCCGGCAAAGCGTCATATCCGCTGATATCTTCCCCAAATGAAATGCTTATCGACGTTGCTTCAGTTGCTTTATGGACGATGGACCTACATATAAGCTTTCGTAAGACGAATAATTTTGGTAGTCGCTGGCGGAACTTCTTATGTTGGCTTCCAAAGTAGCGTTGAATCGTTTGATCATCCCACCATAGTTTTTGGTTAAAAAGACATCAAATTTACTTAATATTGACTAAACGAATTCTTGAGTTTTATTTCATACAGAGATAGTATTCCGACAATTTTAGAAATTTATGTAGATCATTTTAAGATTAAAAAAGTTGATGTCTCCAAGTACCTGGAACAAGCACACAAACGGTTCCGTACCGTTATCTATAAAACCGGAAAAAAAATCATGTCTGTTGTAGGGGAGCCGCACTTAAATATTTATTTTATTCTGTTTTAGTATTTGTTGTTATAGCGGCAACAGAAATATATCATCTGTAAAAATTTTAACTGTCTAAGTATCACGGTTCATGAGATACAGCCTGGTGACAGACGGACGGACGGACGGACAGCGGAGTCTTTGTAATACAGTCCCGTTTTACCCTTTCGGTAAGGAACCCTAAAAGAGAAAACAATGATACTAAATTCGACCACTTTACAAAAAACTCTGTACAAAAACATTAATAAAAATAGAAAGTCAGCTTCATCGGCACATTAAATCATGCACACACGAGGGTACGGCATTTATAAAGTTATAAGGAAAATCTCAGATCGACGAATTACGAACTTTTCAACAGAACTGTGAACGTTGAGGACATTCCGTAGAATTTGAAGTTGATAGGGGTTTTAGCTTTCGAAAGGACGCCGGTTCGATTCCGAGTCTGTCTGCTTTGGTCCGTTTTCTGTGGTTTCTTTGGATCACTTAGGCAAATGCCGGGGCAGTAATATTCCACAGATAATCTTTCATTCTCTTGTGTCTTCACTTCGTTCGTCTCATCTTTCTCACCCGAACTACCACCTACCCGTTCCCACTATTCCTTAAGGAGGTTGAAGCATTACTAGCTGGTGATAATGAAACACTTAAGTTTTTCTTTTTAAGGCTCCGAGTTCACTTTCTCGCACCGCATCCAATTCACTCCCTTGAAGCTCAGTGTGCCACTGCAACAACCTGAAAATAAATTCCGCTAGTGTGACAGGAACCCCTTTGCACATTTAATTTCGAGGTCTCTCTTTGACTTCCAGAAAACGTCAAACTTGTTTTCATATGGCTTGTAGAATCGAGTCGATCAGGAACTGAAAAATCTCAAACAAAAAAGCATCTGTTCTGTTGAAAATTCATTACAAGCGGTCTGCACATCTCCGGATAACAAATGAATATTGCATGGATTACTATCAAAGATCTTATCTCGTGGAGCTATCCGTTATCAATTGAATGATTCATGTATTACGCATTTTGCACTATTACCTACTTAAAAAATTTCCTTTTTTTTCAGATCGCTTGCAGAAAGAGTAACTATCCGAGCGGGAACAGACCAACTAGGAACAGGTGGTGTGGAGATACAGGCCTCAGCTTTATATACTCATCCCAAGTTTGATCTTGATGCCGTTGATTATGACATAGGTTTAATCAGACTTGCTTATCCACTTCCTTTTGGTCCGACAATATCTGCAATTTCTCTAGCGAAACGGAAAGTTCCTGTCGGAACAGCGGCTGTTGTTTCGGGTTGGGGATTTTTAGCAGGCGGTAATAATAACACAAACCCAACGCAATTACAAACAGTTACAATACCAGTTGTTAGCGATAACGAATGCCTTGATTATACTAAAAGAAGGATATGCGCAGGATACCGTGATGGAATCGAAGCTCCTTGTGTAGTAAGTATTATTAATTTTGAACAAATTGTTTTGCGTAATTGGGCTTGTACACAGAAATATAAGGTACTCATTAATGCTTACAAAGCTGTTTCAAAGAAAAATAAGAAGCAATAGCAAATGAAGGAGTAATAACCTTTTGTTTAATACAGGGCGACTCTGGAGGTCCGTTGGCTGTAGGAAATACCCTCATTGGTATTGTTTCGACTGGCCAAGATTGTACTGGAATATCCGTTTTCTCCAACGTTGCCTATCTTCATAAATGGGTATCATCAGTAATGTCAACTTAACACACAGCGCTAAAAATCTACATTTTCTAAATAGATATATAGATAGATAATAACCTTCGAACAATAATTAATTGTTACTGATCATGTAAACAATTACGATTATTCCAATAATAAAAGTTGCACGTATTCAACTTTCTCAAATTGTAATGTCAGACAAAGTTTAGTTACCAATAAGATCTTAATATTGTGTTTATATAGACAGAGATGTGATTTATTTGAAATACTTGCTTTTAAAATGAAAACAAAATAAAAAATTCCTATTTTTGTCTTGCATTTAAATGCTTTTCTGAGAAAAGCATTTTGTATTTTATTTAAAATACTTTTCCAAACGTATTTTCTAGTTATAAGATGCAAAATACATTCGTGCCTTTAAAAGTTTTGCTAGTATCACCGATCAAAAATTATATAAAATGATGAATGAAAGTTGCTCACATTGGCCATTGAAGGTATTAGAAGCTTAAAAAGGGTACAAAGAGATATTCCATGAATGCTTTCTACCTTTTTAACTGAAAAGAGCCCAAAAAATCGAAACTCCTTGAGAATGGATGATCTAAAATATTGGATCGATTTTGTTTCTCGGGGTTCATTGTGATGGTCCATGGAATTTTGAAGTTCCAAATTGATATAAGCACCTGCCAAATCACCACTAATTGTACCTTTAGCAAGGAACTACTAAATTCTATCAATTACAACAAAACAATCGGAAAACAGTATCTAATTGATATACGCCAGCTGTGTAAAACTGAAAACTATAATAAATATTGGTGGTGCGCTTATAAGTGCGTATAATCCAAAATTCTTAGAAAACGATTCGAAAAACTTCACTTATTAGATGAACTCAAAGCTAAAGAAACTATGAATTCTATTTTCTTCTCTTATTATAATGTGTAAAAGAAAAGAACCAATCAATAGAATTACATAAAAATTATTTCGAACCCTATTTTGGCTCTTATCTTTCACGCTAATCGAACAGGCATCAGTGTCTTTTTTCCAATTAAAACGGGTGACAAAGGTAAATAAGAAAGCATATAGAAGAATTATTTGTTGCTGAATTATAGAAACTATAACTATAATATAAATATGAATCATACTCAATCCTCGCAGCTCACGAAATAGTGCAAACACCACTATTAGTCAGAAAAACATTTAAAAAATGAGCAAATTCCCGCAAGCCACAGTAGCATTCTTTTTAGAACTGACTGCATTTGACCTAGTATACGGACTGCTAACCCTGTCCATTAGGGAACGTGTCTCAAGAGCCACAGTAGCATTCTTTTTGGAACTGGTTACATTTGCTAGAGCGGCGAAAGCAAACCTCCAGGAAAAGCGGCAATCCAGCGAGGAGGTCACCAAGTCAAATCGCCAACAAGAGAAGAAGACTCGAGAATGTATCCGCTGTACATTTTGCCGCAGATTTAGTCACTCCGTAATCATATGTTAGATGAAAGTCAAGGAAACTTCCGTCAAATCTACCGTCCCTAAAGATCCAGGACCAGGTATCCGGTGCTATGAATGCGGTCAACCTGTAGTCTTCCGTAGAAACTGTACGTGTTACACCAGACAAACAAAAGCAACTCAGTCTTAATTTCTGCTTCTTGATCACCACGGCGGTTGGTCGTCCTGCGGTACCCATCACCATTTACTGAAAGAACGGCACGGCATTACTGGAGAGCGGAGCCAAGACCAGTCTTGCCAATATCCAGTTGTATGAGTCACTGAAGGCCGAAGGGTGCATCTTTCAACCCTCGGCGGTGCAAACCATCCAAGCAGATGGCAACCCTTCCACACATGTAACCCAGATAATTACGTTGCCAGTAACTTTACTGGACCGCACCATCGAAACCAGTTTTATCGTTATTACAACGGCAGATAAGCTATAAACGCTCCTACGCATAGACTTTCTATGAAAGACAGACATGGTTTTAGACTACAGCAGCGACCGTTCGTACTTCAAGGAAAATCGCTACCACACATATGAGTTTGTACCAAAGTTTGACCCTATTCCAGTCTGGGAACATGAAATACCTGTTCCGATAGCCACTGCCAATATCCAGGAGCATCCCCGTTTCCGGAGGAGTTTCCGTCCTGCTACGGCCCAGACCTTCCCCAATGTTCTCGGCACAATCCGTTCTCTAGGACAGCTTACATTATGGAGGATGCCCGACGAGCCGCAGATTCATATTGGACTAATCATCAGATGGATTCATCGCCGAACCTTTTTCCCACACCGTCTATCCAGGTCACCCCTCTCGACTTACACCTAGACGAAGGCCATACTCTAACACCAACTCGACGCACGGAGTTGAATAAACTGCTTCACCAATTTGTGGCGCAGTTCGTGGAAAACGGGCCACCTACATCCCACGCTATTCATCCCATTTGTACCGAGGGCCACGCATCCATAGCAAGACCCCCCTTCCGGATGAGCAGACACCGGCAAGTCATACTTCGAAAAGAGATACAGGCGCTACTCGACGCCGAAATTAAAGAAGCAAGCGAGAGCGATTGGGCCTCTCCAGTCGTGCTGGTGTCTAAGCTTGATAGAAACTATCGCTTATGCGTCGGTTATCGACGACTGAATGCTGTCACCAAACCCGACGCCTACCCACTACCCCGCCCAGTACATGTCAACTATGGACCTACGGGCAGGGTATCACCAAACCATGGTCCACCCTAACGACCAGTACACGCGTCTACCCTTCGGAGTGCGCAACACCCTCTCGGCATTCCAGCGGCTTAGGTGATATTTGGTGGCATCTCCTTCGATCATCGTTACCGATCACGAACCGCTTCGCTGGTTAATGAATCTACGTTCCCTTAGCAGGCGGCTAACGCGATGAGCGCTTCAACTTCAACCATTTAACTTGCAATTAGAATACTCACCGGGAAAAACTAACGTAGTGTCCGATATAATTTTCCGCCCTCCACTGGACGATGACAACCAAGGTCCTTTTGGCTTCGTCTCCGTCGAGTTAGCCCGGAAGAGCCCTAAGGGACTCCGAGAAGAGCAGCTTGCAGATGACGAATTGAAGGCCATTATCCAATCGTTCGAATCCGAGGATTTAGACGAATCAAGACGATGAGTGTCCCGCGGGTACATGTTATGCCAAGGGGTCCTGTATCGGTATGCTTTCGAGGAAGATAACTAAGAGGCCCAATATGTAGTCCCATCGGCGCTGCGCCCTCGATTACTCGAAAAATTCTATTCCTTGCCAACCGCTGGGCGCTATGGAGTGGATTGCACTTTTCACAAACTTCGCCAGCTTTTCTACTGGCCCGGACTGGCACGCTATAAGAGCGACAACCAAAAACTATCAGGCTAGTTGCAAACTCCGGTTCTACGATAACTCTTCGAGGTAACCCCTTACACCCGGACCCAAGAAACCTGAATCCTTATCATTGAGGATACCGCTTCACAATGGGTAGAGCTTTTATTTCTTGTACAAGCAACCGCGGATGCATGCACTTGGACCCTAGTCAACGAGGTCTTCCTACGCTATGGGATCCCCAGGCGTATCATTTCCGAGAATGGTACTCTGTGCATCAGCTCTGCGATGCAGAAGATCTGCTATTGTTTAGACATCCCATCGGCTAACATGGTAGAAAGAAAGAACGGAGACCTCAAAACTCAGCTGTCTATTCTGGTTGGACAATCTCACCAAGACTGGCCCTGCGAACTTCCCAGCATTCGATTTGCCTTTAATACTTCCAAATGTCAAACGGTTGGCTTCACGGCTGTTTACCTCACCGCCGGCTGGGAGCTGCGCACCCCCAGTGAAATCACTCACGGTATTAGAGCAGTAATACAGAATGAAAACTTCGTTACTCGACTTAAACAAATGTTTAGCGTCTTTCATGAGGCTCGGGACATGCAGCAGAAGCAGCAACATCGGCAGAAGTTGATCCAAGACCGATGACGCCGACCAAGACGAAGCTCGCGCCCGGTAATCGGGTGATGGTCACCACCTACCCTTTGAGCAGAGCCGCAGCCGGAAAGACCGCCAACTTTTCCCCTCGAAAGGACGGCCCTTATGTATTCTTGTCTGCAAAGGGGCCCTGTAGCTACGAGATAGCTGCCCCTGCAAATCCAACCCAGGTACTGGTGACTATTCACGTGTCCGCCCTCCGACCATGCGTTCAGAATGAGATTAATGATTCACCCCCCGTCGTCCGTCTGCGTCGGCGCAGCCGCCCCAGGAAAATTCACCGAAGCACTGCTGAGCCGTCTAGCGCTTCGGTAGGGGGCGAACTGTAACACCACCCCTACGTTTTCAATTTCGTACCCAATGTGTCGGATATTTGGTCGCATCGCGCGACTACCCTCGTCGTGAGACCCACCGTCGATTTTTAATATCACCGACCAACCCCCTTCCAACGGAGTGGAAGTATAGAACTCGCACCACCCTTCTCGACTACCCTTTCTCTACGTAGGGGCTATTTAAGAAGATGCTACCCCAGGAAGCGACTAGTGAATGAGTGTTTAACTTAGTGTTAGGACAATATATCCAATCAGTTTTAAATTCATCTAGTGTCATCAAAAATAAGAGTATACCTTTACCTTTAGTTACTAAAGTGAGTGGTAAGAGTAATTATTATGTGACGATCATAGTTTTTAATAAACTGGAAAATGATCTATAAACTTTAGTTATAACTAAATTCGCTGTTAAAAATAAATTGAATAACTGAATTATATGTAATTTACATTATCATTAAACGGTGTATGATAATATCAAATGTAGTGTTTTCTTTTTATTGTTTTATTATTTTCATATTTTTTTATTGAGTGCATTATTATGTTTTTTGTATCAAACAAGTGATAATGTTGATTTCTCCTTATTATCTGGTTGATTTTCTTTTAGTATCTTGTTGTTTCTCTTTTACTTTATCTTATTAACTGTTATAGCCTTGTAGAAACTACTACTGTATTATTATTATAATACATATGTAATTGTGAATTTCTAACCCTAATAAATTCACTCATGATTTGTAAGTCATCAAGTCCATGTCCACTCTAGTAACTCTTAATCCAAGATTTAATAATTATTCTACTGTAATTTCTATATCAGGCTTCATTCATTTTTTCTATGCTCTTCTTTATATAGTTTGCACTGCAACTATTCCAAATGCAGTC